GATAGCACAGAGTTGAGAAGGGTAATTTTCCCGCCAAAGGACAAGAATCGATTTTTCCAGGCACTGAGTTTCTTTTTGAAGTTTTCAATCAAATCTTTCCAAAAGCCCAGTCGTCTTGGATTACCTCCCACCTTTATTCCTAGGTATTTGAAAGGCATAGATCCCAGTTGGCAGTTAAGAAGGAATCCCATCTTCTTTAGCCAATTAGTGTCTGTATGAATCCCCATAAGCTGGCTTTTTCTGTAGTTGATCTTCAATCCAGAGACAATTTCGAAGGTCCTTAAAATGCACTTTACTGCCCAAAGGTTATCTTCGGTAGCCTTCCCGCAGATCAATGTGTCGTCTGCAAATTGTAGGTGAGTGACCCTGAATCCTTGTGTCCCGACTTCGATTCCCTTTAGCAATTCTCAGCTAACAGCTATACTGATGAGTCCATTCAACCCTTCAGCTGCTATGAGAAATAGAAATGGAGATAAGGGATCACCTTGGCAAAGACCCCTGCTAATTGAAATTTGTCGTGTGGCAGAACCATTAATAAGAAAGGAGACTGTACTGGCGGATAGACATTTCATGATCCAATTTGCCCACTTGTCACCAAACCCCATTCTTTTAAGCATGTAGTTGAGGTAGCTCCAGCTGACCTTGTCAAACGCTTTTTCAAAGTCAAGTTTGAGTATAAAACTACTTTTCCTCCTTCTTTTGGCTTCATCAATCACTTCATTGGCAACCAGGACCCCATCAACCAATAGTCTGTCCTTGACAAAGGCAGTTTGTTGAACCCCAATCACGCTACCCATTACCAGCCTTATCCTATTAGCTAGTAGCTTTGCAATGATTTTGTACATGGAGCCTATAAGAGAAATGGGCCTAAAATCTTCAATTTTTTGGGGGTTGGATGTCTTTGGAATCAAGACAACAAATGAAGCATTAGACCCTTTTACTAGCTTCCCATTTGTGTAGAATTCATCAGCAAACCCAATGATGTCCTGCTTGATTACCTCCCACATCTCTTTGAAGAATTTGAAATTAAATCCATCCGGACCTGGGGCTTTGGAGCTATCACAATCCCAAACAGCTTTGTAGATTTCCTCTTCAGTAAATTTAGTAGAGAGCATGCATGATTCAGCTTGGGAGATTTTATTGAAATGGATGCCATCAAGGGTCGGCCTTTCCCATCCTTCATCTTTGAACATGTCTTCAAAGTAGCTGGCTACTCCTTCTTTTACCTCATCCACTTCAGTCAACTGTTGACCCTTCACTTGAATGCAGTTAATTTCGTTTCTTCTTTTTCTCCCTCGGACACAACGATGAAAAAACTTTGTGTTGTTATCCCCTTCTCGCAGCCATGTCTTTCTGGATTTTTGCCTTAAGATTCCTTCCTTGATTCTCATGCATTTTCCCAAATTAGTAAAAGCCTGTTTCCTTTCCATAATTTCTTCTTCTGTCAACTGTTGTAACTCCCCTCTTAGATCTAGATCTTCAATTCTCTGCTTAGAGTAAGAAATTTTTGACTATGTTTCTGAGTTGAATTTGGTACTCCATTGTTTCAAAGATTTCTTTAAGGCTTTTAGTTTTTCCTTGAGACAATAACCTTTCCATCCCTGAACCTTCACAGAGGTCCAAGCTTGGGTTAACAACTCTTTAAGGTCGTTAGATTCCCACCATGCATCGTAAAAAAATGAAACTGAAATTTATTAGATAATTATTAATTAAAAAATGTGACCACAAATTAAAAAAATTTAAAATGGATAAATTTGTCAATAAAATTAAAAAATTCTAATCCACTAGCGGTTTGGTACAAAAAGCTGTATAAACTGGCTTTTTCAATCCGCTAGCGATTTGAACCCTAGCCACTATCCGCTAGTTTCAAACCGCTAAATAAAAATTTTACCAAACACTTTAGTTGTAGCAGTTTCGAAATATATAAATTTACCAAACACCTATATTTAG